ATACCGACAGACTAGCTTTGTTGGTATTACCTGAACCTATACCGACGGACCACCTCTGTTGGTATACCCTGACCCTATACCAATGTGCACAATCTGTTGGTATAAAGTGAACCTATACCAACAGACAAGACCCATATTGTGATGATCGAATCCGTCGGCATAACAATATATGCCATACTCCATACTTATGATGTACATCGATGGATAGCTTGACCGACAGTTTAGAAAGCCGTTGGTATAGGTGTCTACACCTTATACTGATGGATAAGGTCTATACCGACAATATCATACCAGATGCATTAGGTGACCGTCGAAGTAGCTCATTTAGAGATATACTGATGGATCATACACCTATACCGATGGACGGTATAGGGCATATTTACTGTAGTGTGTTTGCTATCCTATGAGTTGACCCTACAAAAAACATAAGATGGACTATCATTCTATTGCTTGTATATTTGTTGGATATAGTTCGAAGCATAAAGGATATCATTGTTCTAATCTAGCTACATCTTAAGAGATTATTGCCCACCATGTTGTCTTTGATGAACAATGATTTATAACCATTCCCTAGAACTCTGCACTGCCTACATCTCTATGGGAGGAAGTTGTTTTACCACCGATTTCAGAGGTGGTTTCTTCACGAGAAGCATTACCTTCTCATAATTCTGCCTATCTAGCCTTATCACCTACTAATATCTCTATTCCAATTGGTTCCTCTACATCTTCTACTCAGTTCTAGCTCTTCTAAAGCTTCTTTGCAGGTTCCTCTACAACGTACAAGGTTGGTATAGGAGATTCTTGATGCTACCCCTACAGTTCCTCCACACTCACTCCATGGTAATTCGATCCATGACTTCTCGCTCTCAATAGCCCATGTCTTCTACATGCTATCCTATACTAGCGGCTCTTTCAAGTAATAGAAATCCCAATGAAGTCGAGCCTTGCTCATACTCTCAAGCTGCTAAATCACCTCACTGGTGTTCAACTATGGCCTCAAAATTTCATGCCCTCATCCAAAATGGCACATGACAATTGGTTCCCTACAACCCCACTATGAATGTTGTGGGTTCAAAATGGGTTAATAAAATCAAGAGGAAACCTGATGGTTCAATTGGGAGGTAAAAACCAAGTTAGTTGCCCAAGGTTTTTCATAGATTCCTGGTGTTGATTTTATTGATACCTTTAGCCCGATAATTAAATCGGCCACTATTTGTATGACTCTTTCTCTTGCCACTTTACGTGGTTGGGATATCAAACAACTGGATGTGCATAATGCTTTCTTGAATGGTTTTGTTACTAAAGACATATATATGCAACAACCATGTGGTTTTGAGGATCAAAATTATCCTGATTATGTGTGCAAATTGCGTAAAGCTCTCTATGGGCTTCAGTAGGCCCCTAAACATGGCTCTCTAGATTGAGTGGTTGTTTGCATGAACTTAGTTTCCAAGGTTCAAAATGTGATCATTTTCTCTTTATTTATCACAAGACTAATGTTTATCTCTACGTTTTAGTTTATGATGATGATATTATTATTACTAGCTCTTTTTCTTCCCATGTTTCTCAATTTATCACAAAACTGTCTCATAGTTTTTCTCTTAAGGATCTTGGCTCTCTTCATCATTTTCTTGGTGTAGAAGCTCATCATGATCACACTGGCTTATTTCTTTCTTAGGGGCGATCTAGTCTTGATCTCTTGCAAAAGACCAATCTCTTAGCTTTGAAGCCATTGTCTACCAGTGGCATGTAGTTCATGGCTATCCAAGTTTCAAGGAGAGCTCTTGTTTGATCCTACACAATATCATAGTATTGTTGGTGCATTGTAGTATGTTACTTTGAGTAGGCTAGATGCCACTTTTGTAGTTAATAAAGCTTGTCAATTTCTCTAGACTCCCATTGATGACAATTAGTTCGTTGTTAAATGAACTCTTTGTTATTTTAAGCATATGCTTGATTATGGACTCTTTTTGATGCTCACTCCTCTGGTTCTCTTGTGGCCTATTCTGATATGCTGACAGGGTTGGCTATCCTAATGATTGACGTTCCACTGGTGGTTGTGGTATTTTTCTTGGATCTCACTTGATCTTCTGGGAGTGCTAAAGTGCAACCTACTATTGCTCGTTCTAGCATTGAGGCTGAATTTTGGTCCTTGGCAAATACCACAAATACGTACCACTATTGAATTACTTTGGTTGCAGTTTCTTCTACGTAACATAGAGGTTCATCAGTCTTCTCCTCCTATTCTTTATTGTGATAATGTCTGTACTACATATCTTGCTTCTAATCCAATTTTTTATGCTCGTATCAAATACATCGAAGTGAACTTTAATTTTTTGAGAGATTTAATTCTTCAAAAATCTCTCATTGTGAAATATATTTCCACTGCGGATAAAATTGTAAATGTGTTTACAAAACCCCTCTCTTCTCATCGGTTTGATTACTCGAGGTAAAAGTTCATGTGCTTCTAGCCCGTTTTATCTTGAGGGGGCATATTAAGGAAGGAGATGGGTCGACCACCATAAAGAAGGAAATTATAGTATTGGCAATCTCCAATAAAGAAAGTTCTCTAAGTTTGGAAAGCTTCAAGAGAGGCAACTCTTAGTTTAGGAAATTTTGTAAATAGGCAATTGCCTTATTATTTTCTTTCTATTTTGTCATTATTCTTTTATGTATAAACTAGAGAATAACCCCCTTACTAACTACAGGGCAACTAAATGTGTATATAATTTAGTTTGAAGTTTATTATTTAGTTATCAAAATTTAAATTAAAAAAACTAATATGGGTCCTACATCTTTGTAATTGACAATCTCTTTTGACCTATTTTATTTGAAACCCATTATTAACTTATGTTTTTTTAATTTGATTTAAGATGTTAAATGAGATCTTATTGGTAAACAATAATCCACTTTATTTGGTATTTACTATTTATCTAATAAATCTATTTTGAGTTGTTTATTTTTAAAAGTTAAATTAGGTTGCTTCCTAAAAGTTAAATCAAATTTGTAATTAATAAAGTATTTTCTTTTTGAAAAAAATCATTTAAAAACAAACGTGGGTTTATGGTAATCATTTAATAGGTCCCACCATTTGTATTTAATAGACTATGGATAAACATGTCTTAAGCCATGTGTTAAGATAATAAATTACTGTCTATTGAGAATGTTTAGGAGTGAAACTATTCACTTTTTGAATCCTATTTCTTGAATTAATAGGATGCCATGTGTTTGAATGGTAGTTGTTGGATTTAGCAACAATTTCTCAGAAAATGCCACGTGTCTAGCTTTGTAGAAAAATAAGAAGGCCACATGTCTGAATAGTGGGGGGCGGTAGAATTTCTCAGAAATTGCCACGTGTCTAGCTTTCCAAAAAATGAGAAGGCCACTTGTCTGAATGGTGGTATTGGATGTAGGTTTTAACAACAAATTTTCAGAAAATGCGACGTGTCTGAATGGTGGGGGGTTGTAGCCTAGGGATGACTATTTCATGGGAATTTTTGGGTGTTCGACCCGTCCTGACCCTAATAAGACCCGTTTATCAAAACCCTATAGGGTTTGGGACGAGTTTGGGTTTTGACTTTAGGGTATCCAATGCCCGATACTCGAGATGCATAAATATGAACATATTATATTATATATCATGCACAAATTTATAAATTTTAAGTTCTAAGATAATTATTCTATTATTAATATTTTATTTGTATAAATTTCTTAGGATTAAAATCATCATTTGATGTAAATTTGGATTTGATAGATTGTTTATTTCATTTAGTTATAAAATTCTAATTTTAAATATTATTTCTTTTAATTTTTAATCATATATATATGTATTGATTGTTTTGATGAATACAAAAGTTAATGAAATCTATTTTATTCCATTAAATAACACAAAAGGTGAGATGACTTAGTGGCTTAAAGTAGTGCTAATAGATTTGGCACTATCTTTAATTGATCCGAGTTTAAGTCACACCATAAGCATTAAGAAATATTTTTTTAGTAGAAAACGTTTGGTGGGACGAGTCGGGATGGGTTTGGGAAATTGAGAAGAAAGGTTAGATGATTTAGAATCAGGGATACATAAATGGGTTGGGCAATTTGCACGGGTACCCTACTTCCTTTATATATATATTAGATATAAAAGCAACTGTATAGATCGACACACCAATAAACTTGGCCTTTCAAACGAAGGGCCAATGATCAAGAGAGCGTTATTCCCTCGACCCAGGCCCCTCAGCCCATATTATTCTACGTACTTTATATCTACCAATCTCTCTTGGAGTTAACCTCGTTTGAATTGAGAGTCGAAGACTCCACCGGAGGGATGATCTGGGGTTTCTAATGTTTCCTATGATTGCAAGTCATTAGAACGTAAAGGACGTTTTCGATCTTATCCTTGTTACAGATCTGAGTAGTAATAATTGGTATCATTTGTGCAAAATGGCAACCAAAAGTTTTATGGGAGAGAGAACAAAGAAAGGCTTAAGACATCAAGAGAATCGTGGAGGTCACCATTGCAATAAGCTCTAGTGACATAAGGAGTATTTCACCCATCTCATGGAGATCACCCAAGGCCTAGCCTCCAATAAGTAATTCTATTTTCTCATTATTTCTTTCTATTTTCTCAATCATTCTTCTACTACGCTTTGTTTCCTAACTTGGACAAAGCGATAAAGCACCACTTAAACTCGGGTTTAGTCAGTGATTACGTGGACCAACATGCCTGCCGGCCGGCCCAATTCATACCCCCATTTATATTCTTTCGTGTGTGAATATATTTTTTCTCCTTGTTTCCTCATTTTTACTCTCGTGTCCTTTGCTTGTGAGTTGTGAATCTTTTGATTTAGACGTTTAGCATCAAATTCTAAACTAATAACGAATGGTTTCATGTGACAGAAAAAAGTTTACAAAATTCTTTCAGCATCACATTCCTCTTTAGTTGTAAGGGAATTTTCCTTTATTTCTACCGTTCAATTGTTCTGAATTTCTGAAGCAGCTAGATATCCCAAAGTCCAAATCCCAAAAGTAGTTGGGGATATTGTGTTATTTTGAAAACTACTGTAAGAGATACAGAGACCCTACTCGTACTTCTTGGGGAAAATAAAAGACATTTTACTAAAATATATATAGATGTACTGATTCCAACCGAACATCCATCTCAGCTTCTCAGTGCTAGCTCCTTTAAAACAACATGAGGACGAATTGCGTATTAACTAAGGACTCCATCCTGCTTTCTTGTTTGAAGATAAAAAACAGTAACCATAAAAACAACCACCACAACAACATATATGAACGCATCTTCTTGGCATTCCTTCAATGTGCATGACCTCTTGTTATGCTTTCCAAAAGTGATATTGAAGACGAAATGCTCCCGAATACCGCCAAAAGAGAGCCAATCAAAATAAGGGTCAGATTAAGCACTACGAGAGACCTTGAAATTTGAGACCAATAAATCCTGGTGTAGAACACACAAGGAAAAATAATCGAAATACAAATGCTAACAAGAGATCCCGTAAGGCCAAGGACGTGCTGGAAATAAGGAACCAGGAGAGCTAAAACCAGGATTCCTAGAAGTAGCAATGACCCAACACTTGCTCTGATGAACATCTTCATTCTAGAACTCAGAGAGCAAGGAAGATTCTGCTCAAGTTGCATTGCGAACGGGGCAAATTCAAGTGCATACTTTGTCATCGGTGTCAATATAGTTGCCCACAGTGCAAGTTTTGTAATAATCAGGTGTCTGGGCATGCTGAGAGTGATCTGGGATTTGACTTCAGGCCCAAACAACTTTGCACCCATGAATGCAAGAGCTGTGTACAGGATCGTAACAAGAGTGAAGCTCACAATTGAAACCTGAAAAATTACAGTAGATAAAAATGATCAAACAATGAAACAGCTCTCTCTCTCCCTCTCTCTCGATATACAAAATTTTGTAAACAAAGAAAATTGTATACAAGAGAATGGAGTATACCTTGGTAAACTTAGAAGGATCCTTCATGGCTGTATAAATGTTGGGGAAAACAATATGGCCAGCAAAACTGAAAGCATAAAGACCAGATATTGCAGGAATTTTTTGTAGTTGAATCACAGGAATGCTGTGGTTAGCTCGAACACCACCAAAAACTGCTGTGAATGGTACACTTAAAAAGATGATCAGAGACATAAGAATTCCTCCGGATGAAAGGAAGGATATAGAAGAAAGGTCTCTCAACCACAGACTAGGCAGTGCCACCAAGACCGCCATACCTGTGAGAAGCTGAGAGGTAGATAGGTGCACCCATGGCACACTGAGGTGTGTCCCAGAAAGAACAGTGGTCAAGTTATCACTCAGAGAGATTGTGTAGGAAACAAGGGCCATGAAGATTTCCATGTAGATAAAAGTAGAAGCGATAATTCTCCCCTTAAGTCCAAATGCATGTTCTCCAATATCTGGGTAGTCTTTTGACTTTGCATTCTGTTGGAGACATTTCCCTAGTAAATATGTTGTATACGCACAGACAATCCCAAGCCCTACAAGAAGGAATGCAGAAGTCCAACCTCCATTCTCTAGAGCGTAAGGGGTTGATAGTTGCCCAAGGCCTGAAAAAACATAAGTTGCTAATGTTACTCGAGTTCATTAACATCAACGGGACATCAACTCGATCATCTATATATGATGCCTAAATCTGTCTGAGTGGTGACTTCCTTTTATTTTGTCTTTTTTTACCTACTTAATCTACAGAACATCAACTCATCTCACATAATAGATATCTTTTCTCTATGCATTATTTGCATTCCTGGCTAATTGATAAATATACTATACCAATAGAATTGAACATTTGGATCCATTTATGGAACATATATGTCTCTTCAAGCTCTGTGTTATACATTCATTGCACCAAATTAAAAGCAGATTTCCTAGTTTTTTAACAATTTTGTGCATCCAAATATATCTACTGGTAAGCCATTGAATAAAGGAAAATTAACTTTACCTATCAGCATTCCAATCATGTTGATGACAGCATGAGCAAAAGAAGTATTTGCCTTCACGTGGTGATCACCACCATCTGTGCAATTAACTTCTTTCTTCAACTGCTCATCGATGTCTTCTCCTGGTCTACACTTACACGCCTTGTTCTCCTCTAAACAGACCTGGCAACTCTTCAACTCATCAGCTGCAAGGCGAGAACCATGGACTGACTCACTCGCTACTTGATTCCGGTGCGGTGGAAGTTTTGAACCCAGACATGACCACCACTGGGTTGACTTCAGCAGCTTACCACCCAGCATTTGCTTTGCGAAGTCGCTCCACCAAGCTTTGGCTATCTAATGCTAGCTCGATCACTCAGTCGAGGATACCTGGAGAATTTTGCTTGATAGCTGAACGAGTTGGCTATGTATTTATAGCAAAAGTTTCATTAATTGGTATGTTCACGCTTTGTTTCTGATGTATGCATCTCTCTGGCGTCATATGGGCCTAATGTATAATTATATAATATGTGTAGTCATTCTTTTCCTATTTTCTAGCTTGGTTAAACAGTAGGGGTGGAAGGGAGAAGGCGAGATTCGTTACCTCCAGGTCAGTGGGAACAGACTTTACCAGCTCAGCCAGCCGAATACACGGTTGGGATATGCTGTGGGGCGCAGATGTGAATTCCAAATTGACTAGGGAAGTTGACAATTTGAGAAAGTTGGTTTGGATTATAATGAATCGAGAACAATGGTCACGTTCCATTATTTTGTCGTGCGTGGCTGCGAATGAATTAAGTTGGCTGCACGCATATGCTTGCTCTCTATTCTATTATTCCTACCTTTTTATTCTCACTCTTTATAATCGTTTCCTTAATTTGCCTTGGGGAGAATCGTGATAAATAAGATAAAAAGGTGACATAATTTTAACTTTTCCTCTTGAATAAACAAATAAAAGGTGCTAAGGTTGCATTTGGCATTCCTTATTTTAAGGATTTATTTCCTTTTTGCAATTAAAAACTTAGTGTCCTTAAAATAAGGAAAGCCAAATGCAGCCACTTTGGTGTTAAAAATTCAGTGTTCATAGGGGCATTTTAACCAAGGTTTTAAAAACCGATCCAGAAATGGAACAGTTCCGACTATCGGTTTTTAGGTTAGTGGTTTGACTGTTTAGGTCAAACGGTTCAGATGATTTGAATATTTTAACAGGTGATATGTCATCTTACCCATTATATTGGAATATTAGGGTAAGATGCATATAAATATAAGAGAAAATAAGGTTTGAATGAGAGAGATTTGAGAAACTGCCGGCTGAAAAGGTTTAGAAAAGAGAGAAGAAGAAGAAGAAGAGGACTTGTAGGCTGCAACGATGACTTACAACAACAATAGTGATGGCGACGACGACGATGGTGAACTACAGCGGCAACAACGATGGCGATGGTGAAAAACTAGCGATGAATGAGATCTGAGAGAGGTGTGTGAGACAGTGAGAGAGATCTCACATTTAGAGATTTGGGAGAGCAGTATAGACTCTAGACGACCGATCTACGAGAGAGAGTGTGAGATCTTCTTCTCTTTTCATTATTGTTATGACAAAACTTGTCAGAAGTAATAAACCTCAAACCGTTCTCCAGGTCGAACGGTTCAATGGTCAAATGTCTGCGTCAATGGTTCGTTGACTAATTCAACAATTTTTTATTAGAGACCGGGTTTGGGGTAAAACGAAACCGTTCACTTGAACGGTTTCCGGTCCGAATGGTCCGACCGTCTAGGTCAACGACAGTTCGAAAACATTGATTTTAACTACAAAAATAAGATAAGCCCTTAAAATAAGGAATGCCAAATGCAGCCTAAGGTGACTACAAATAATGTTATAGCAAAGCTATGGTTTATTTTTTACTCTATGAAAACTCCAAAAACCCTTATTGATACAACCAAATATGGGGTTTGGCTTCGGTTAGTGCAAGCCCTTGCTGACACCGTATGAACAACCTCTTGCAACCTTGCATTGGGAATATCTCCCCATGAAATAAAGCACATAAGTACTAACAGAAGCCGAACTCCCAAATATGGGGCAAAGTGCATACTATTTCACTTATACACAATGAGGTTAGCAGTGGCAACATCAACTGAAAACTGTGAGGGGAGTTATGATGACCATTTCAATTGAAGGGCCAATCAAGAGACCGCTACTCCCTTGACCAGGCCCCTCCTTTATATAATGGCACAAAACCTAAGGTACAAAATCAAAAATCACCTCAGCTCAATTATTCTACTTTAGCTTGGTTTACCAATCTCTCTTGGAGTTCACCTTGTTTGAATTGAGAGTCAAAAACTCCACCCTAGGGATGAATTCTAGGGTTTCTAATGTTTCTCGTGATAGAAGGTCATCAGAATCTAAGGCTCAGTTTGGAAAGAGTACAAATACAAATATGTATAGTGCAAATACATACAAAATAATACAAAACACAGGGTTTTGCACTCTACATATTTGTATTTGTACTCCTTCCAAATTGAGCCTAAAGGACATTTTTGATCTTATCCTTGTTGTAGATCTAAGTAATAATTGGTATCATTGTGCAAAATGGCGACCAAAAGTTTCATGGTAGAAATTATGAACAAAGAAAGGCTCAAGACATCAAGAGAATCTTGGAGGTCTCAAAATTCCTTTGTTCTTTCGAGGAACCATTACAATAAGCTCTAGTGACATAAGGAGTAGTTCAACTGTCTCATGGAGATCACCCAATGCCTAGCCTCCAGGTTCAAGGTATGAGGCAGCCAACCAACAACTTATGTGTTAGCGACAACTTGCCAACAACCAACTTGCTAATGGCCAACCTACCAATAGCTAGCCTACTAATGGCCCATTGGGAAATGGGGTCACTAAGGCTTGGATGAGAAGCTCTAAGGTGTATTTGAAGACACTGTCTTTAAAACGTTATTTGCCCCCACTCAGTTCCATTGAGTTTGCTGTTGGGTTATAGGCAAATCCGTTCCTAGGATACAACAAATCCTTGGACTAGAATTTGCAACCAACAAAGTTGAAGTCTTTGAAGAAACCTTCTGTGAGATAGTAGCATTCCGGACTGAGAGAGAGACAAAGTGATTTTTGAAAAATGTGTGTGCAAATACTTGATTCACGCTCCTTAAATAGTTTATGAAGAGTTATGGAGTAGAGGAAGGTGCTGGTTCAAAGAAATGCACATTGAACAATCACAATTTCAAACATTGTGATTGTTTAAAAGGTAGTGACTGTTAACTTTGAATTGAACCTTTTGATCACATCCGATCAAATTGTGACCATTTATCACATCAACGGTCAGCCTCACATCAAAAGCCAAAACTGCCCTTGGCGAGCCATGCGGGTGTGCGCGAAGTGTGCCTCATTGCGCACACACATGTGTGCACGCGCGTTGCACGATAACAAGCCTCCATGCTCCCCTCTATCTAAGTGTAAATCAGCTCCTATTAAAAAACACAAAACAATTCTTGTAATTTTCCAATGTGGAACAATTTAAAAACTGGTTTTAGTAAGAGAGAAGCTATTTTTTAAAACATGTGTGCAAGTGTATTTTTTCATGTAATTAACCAATCAAACCCCATTGGATTTAATCTCTAAAGAGATTAAAATCCAACACTAACATTTAGCCAAAGTTCAAGAGGAATGCCACCAAAGCTGATCCATCAGTTTGATGACACAATCCAAAGCCAATCATGGAGCCATTGGGGTTGTCAATTGAAGGAGCAAGTAAGGTCGAAGCACTCCAAAGCCAATCCAGGTAGGTGAAATCTTATTTGGAAGATTGACAACCTTGAAGGAAGACCGCTACAAAGAGATCAACAGGCTAGATGTGAAGCTCGAAGCCATGTTATGGGAGATGAAGAATTGGAAGGTAGACATACCAAACAAACTTCAACTTGCTAAAGAGTCACCTTTCACCATCCTTTCCTACCAAACTTGAAGATGCCCAATAACTTTGGACACTACGATGAAATATGAGACTTGATTGACCATCAAGAAAAAAAATCAAGACTTGTTAAACTACTCTTAGACATTTAGGGCTTCGGCCTTGGTCCATAAACATCTATATAGGATTAGTTCAACGAGTAACTCGTTAAGTACTTTATTAGTGGCAGAAAACATCAAAACACCTAGATAAACTTGATGACAATAAAGGAAAAATAGGACATTCCCCTCAAAGTCTATGTGTGCTACTTTAATGCCACATCCTTAGAAATACACGACCTCGACCAGTCTATGATACTGGTCACAATCATGAACAACCTCAAGACCTCCAGGTTTTGCTTCTCTCTATCTAAGAGACCGCCCAAGAGAATGTCCTAACTATTTGCCTAAGTCGATATTAAGTACATTAATGTTAAAGAGGCTCAAGTGAGTATAAACTACTAGGGGTGAGCAAATGGATGTATTTTACTTGGAACCAACTGGGAGCAATCTTGAACAAAACTTGAACCAACCCTACCTAACCTACTACCAGGTACGGTTTGGTTCTTAATTCTTGGAACCAACCCCACCAAGGCTAGTTCCAGGGCCTAGGGGTTTAGCTTACCCGATCCAACACAAAGAAACCAACCTTAGAACTAACAAAAAGAAACCAACCTTGTAACTAAACTTTCTCTAAAATAAATCTAAAAAAAAAAGAGGATGTGAAGACTTCAAATCCAAGGACTCATGGTTACAAAGACCATGGTCTTAGTTGAACATTAACTCACTTAAGTGATTTGATATATTTTTTTTTTTCAATTTAACATTTGAATTTGTATGATAAATAATATAAAAGGAAATATTTGCAAAATTTAGATCATAATGATAAGTTTTGAACTATACTATTGTTATTATCATCATCATCATCATCATCATCATCATCATCATCATCATCATCATCATCATCATCATCATTATTATCATTATTATTATTATTATTATTATTATTATTATTATTATTATTTTATTGAAAATCAAGTTTTTAAAGACCACAAGTAGGCCCTAGAAATGATCTTGTCCATGCCCACCCCTAGAAAGGATGGTGAGAATGAGTTGATAATCATACTTTTCCTTGCTTGAAATACTTAACACCCCAACCACTTTTAAGGATTTTAATTTTCTTTTCTAATTGATTTTCAAATTCAGTTTTATATTATTTAAACATGTGAAAGACTTTGTTCTCTATTTTCATTAGGTTTAGATAGGTGCATCTTGAAAAATCATCAATAAAATTTATGAAGTATCTTTTACCTCCCCTAGTCAATACACCATTGAATTCACATATGTCAAAATGAAATAATTTTAGAAGTTGAGATTTTTTGTCAACACTTTTTTTTAACCCCAAACTTTATTCCAAGTGAAGGGGTGGCTACCTTAATATTTTATTAGTATGTTGAAAGTTTGTTTAATCATGTTT